TGGTGGACCCAAGGCCACAATTGGCCAGTTTCGCCAAGAGGTGATCATGGGATACCAGATCGAAGACTTTTTTGAAGTCCAGATATATGACATCAATCTCATCTCCCTTGTCCAGGTGATAGGTCACCTGGTCATAGAAGGAAATGAGATTGGTCAAGCAAGACCTACCTGCAAGAAACCCGTGCTGGCTATCCCTTAGGATGTTGGCGTCGGCCAGTCCATTAAGGTTGGCCTCTTTAATAAACTTTTCTAAGATCTTCCCCAGGATAGAAGTCAGGCTAAAGGGCCTATAGTTAGCTGGATCCACTTTCCTCCCTTTCTTGAAGATAGGCACCACATTGGTCTTCTTCCAGTCTTCGGGCACTACACCAGAGCGCCAGGAGTTTTAAAGATCCGTGCCAGGGGCTGGGCTATGACGCTCGCCAGCTCCTTGAGTACCCTGGGGTGCAGATTGTCAGGGCTGGTTGACTTGAAGGTATCCAGCTTCTCAAGATGTTCCTTGATGAGGTCAGCATTTATGGAGGGCGGGGGTCTCCCTCACCTGGACCTCCCTGTCCCGTAGCGGGCATGGGCGTCCCATGGGACTGATGAAAGACCAATGTAAAGTACCCATTCAATAGGTTGGCTTTTTCCTGGGCGTCAGTTGCCCCATCTGGTTCAGCAGGGGTCCAATGTTGCCCTTGCTTTTCCTCCGGCTCCCCAAATATCTGAAAAAGGACTTTTTGTTGTCCTTGATGCTCAAAGCTAGTTGGAGTTCAGTTGCAGCCTTGGCTTTCCTGGTTTGCTCCCTGCAGGACCGGACCACTGCAGAGTAATCCTCCTTGGAGGTGAATCCCATCCTCCATATACAAAGCATTTTTCATCTTCAGGGCACTGTACAGCCACAGCACCATGATTAGGGGTGGAAGTAGTCCCATTTTACAAATAGGGAACCTGAAGCAAAATGTTTTGTATGTCTTATCCATGACTGGAGACAGGTGGACTCAGTGGCAGAACTTGTTCCTGGGTACTTCTGCTCTGCCCATTACTTTGTGTTTCTGTATCTGGTCATAAATAATGTTTAATTATTTGTATTAACTACTACATATCTTTTAATACACTTCTCAGTTGTCCTAAGGCAAAATCAAATGGTAAGAATTTTCACTATAGAAAATTCAGCTACTTCCTAAGTGGTGATTTGGTTTTGGAAGATTTTACTGTTGCTTATATTGGATGTAATCTATACTTGTAGAAATGCTCTCATCTCAGTACAGTCAACTGCTTCATTCTCACTCATATATTTTATGGAAGAGAGCATGCACCAAGATTAAATCTAAATCTTTTCAATAGTCATAAACATATTTCTAAGAACTTAATCTACTTTTCAACAGTTCTGCAATTTTGCATTCATTTTAGGATCCTCATTGCATGACCAGAACCCAAGCTTTTCTTCTCTTCATGCTACAGTTTTTTTTTTTGTTTTATATCATATGATGGTTTCTTTCTTTATTAAATCCAAGCCTTCACTTTAACCTGCTTTTTCTTCTCCTGCAGTGGAGGAAACAGTCCTCACTGCTTCCTGTCAGGCTTTTTATAGAGTTGCTGGCAAAGAATAGCTGTATACGTGAGGTGCCTGATTGTCCATACCCTTTCTGCAACCTTCTGTACTGGTTTATATCAGAAATACTACAATTAAGAAGTCCCATTTTTAATTAATCATTGTGTTTCCTGGCTTAGGCTGTAGTCCTGTGTTCTTATCTGGAGACAGGAGCTATTGGTCTCCGAGAGCGCTCAGTGATTGAGCTAGGAGCAGGGACTGGATTACTGGGAATAGTGGCCACACTCTTGGGTAAGTTCTCTAAGAAATTAGTGCTGCAGCTAGAGTCTCACACTAGGTCACATGGTTGTTATGAAGGTTAACACAGAGTCTGTGTGACACTTACTGTGACACTTTCCCTCTGAGTCATCTCCCTTTCTTGTTAATCTTTGGAGCCTACCGCATCATTTATTGTGGGGATGGTGCCAGAGCAGGTTTGTTCATATCAGAATCCTCTTATGCTGACTATAGTTACCATGGTAGTCAGCTCAATGGTATTAAGTTCGGTAGCTATTCTCTCAAGGGAATAAATACTGTGCTTATGTCACTCAGATGTATTAATACATGGTACTGCCACAGTGCTTTCCTCCATGCATCGGTATCCCAGCATGTGTTGCATAAGCATGATTCATTCTGTTTTACAGGCAGGGAAACCAAGGCCCAGGGAGACTAAATAATGGGCCCAAGGTCTGACAGTGAGTTGGTGGCAGAGCCCGGAATAGAACATAAGTGCTGTAGCTCAGTCAGCTGTCCTGTGTACTTTGCTCTGCTCTGTTGCTTCCCCTATTTGGGGATGTGCATAATAAGCCCCTCCAGTTTTAAATCACCACTGGTATCGGTAATAAATCTGTAGTTCAGAGCTTTGGGTTTGTTTTCTCTCTGTCTTCATCAATCATCTCAACGTTTATTTAGACACCCCATATTTATCCCACATTAAAGGAATAAGATATGATGCTTCATGGTGTTTGAGCCACCACTTCAGAATTTACAGTACATTTGTGAATGCTCAGCCTCATTAGTATTAGTTTGATTTTCAATTTAAAAGAAATCTGCATTTGAGTGCTTTAAAGTTAGCTCCTTAATAGCCAACATTAGCTGAGAAACGTCTATGTTTTAATTATGTTGAATGCTTTGTCTGTCCATTAACAAGACGTTATATCTTCCTCACCTGTCATACTTTTTTTATTATTATTATTATTATTATTACTACCACCTGTGGCCTTCAAGTCAGATGCTACAAGTAGATCCATACAGGTAGACTTGATTGAAGCTGTTGGTTGGGATTTTATGGGGCTGCTGAAATCAGTAGTAAAACTCCTATTGACTTAACGGGGAGTATCATAGAATCAAAGTAAATTAGGGTTGGAAGGAACCTCAGAAGATCATCTAGTTCAACCCCCTGGTCAAAGCAGGACCATCCCCAATTATATCACCCTGGCCAAAGCTTTTTCTACCCAGGTCTTAAAAATCTCTAGGGACAGAGATTCCATAATCTGTCTGGGTATCTTGTTTCAGTCCTATACTACCCACCTAGTGAGACAGTTTTTCCCTAATATCCAACCTAAACTTCCCTTGCTGCAACTTGGGACCATTGCTCCTTGTTCTGTCATTTGTCACCACTGAGAACAGTCCAGCTCCGTCCTCTTTGGAACCACCCTTCACGTACTTGAAGGTGGTTATTAAAATCCTCCCTCAGTCTTCTCTAGACTAAATAACCCCATTTCCCTCAGCCTTTCTTGAGTTGTGTTCCCCAGCCCCCTAACCATTTTCAGGGGCTGGAGAACATGACTTATGAGGCGAGGTGGAGTAGAGGTAGGTCAACAAAGTGCCAGTTCATACCATCTAGGGATCTACTCTGCTGGACAGAACTGACCTAATGATTGCACTGGAGTCAGCAAAGCTGTGACAGTTTCCATTGGCTGAGGATCTGTGTTAACTAGCAACTATACACTACTGTAGATGGCACATGCTGTTGTGTTGTGTCTAAACTTGTGTTACCAACTCTCACAGATGTAGCCTCACTGAGCTGAACTCAAATTTACCTTTTGCACCTTGCTATTTCAATACAGGTTAAGGCATGACTACATTCAAAAGTAGCTGTACATTTTAATAACAGTCAAAGGAGCAAGTGACAGGCTCTATTTAAAAGAGATTTTAAAAATTTGAACAAATATTTTAGGTAAAAGAGCAGAGTCATTAACATTACTTTAAAAATAATATCCGTGGAGAAAGCTCTTCAGCGTCCCATCTGCTTTGCCTGGATCTCTGTTGCTAATTTGCGTAATGAAATACCACATCAAGGCAAAAATTGAATCTGAGGGGATTATTTTTGTAATAATCCCTAATTTATTCTGCCTGTTGGAAAGGCAGAAGGCAACTTTTCTTTTTCTCCAAAGAATTGTTTTCTTAGAATTACTCAAATCATTTTTTTTTTTTATCTTAGCACTGAAATGAAATTATTTCAAGTGTCTGTTTCTTTTTAAAATCAAGTAGCTTAGTTTGGTAAATTTTTAATTTTGTTTGGTAATATTTTCAATTCTTAGTGGGAACTGAAGAGCTTGCTTTGCTTAAAATATACCCTGGAAGTCATATTGATGGATGTCGATTATTTTGTCTTGAGACATATGCTCTTTGTGTCATAGGTGCTCATGTCACCATCACAGACAGGGCAGCAGCCCTGGAATTTCTTGAGTCAAACGTTCAGGCTAACTTACCCTCTGAACACCAGTCAAGAGCTGTGGTAAAGGAACTGACTTGGGGAAGGAACTTGGAGAATTTCTCTCCAGGAAAATTTGACTTTATCTTGGGTGCAGATATCATTTATCTGGAAGAAACATTTGTGGATCTGCTTGAGACACTAGAGCATCTTTGCTCAGAACACACCACGATTTTGCTTTCATGCCGGATTCGTTATGAACGGGATCAGAATTTCCTGAAGATGCTGAAGGGACATTTCTCTGTACATGAAGTCCACTATGACACTAGTAAAGATGTACATATATTCAAAGCACAGAGAAGTTTTCATAAAGAAGACCTTTGACTGTGTATGTTAGTATTAGAATCAAACAGTAGCTGGTGTCCAGCTACCATTATTTCTATTTGTACCAAAAAGCATAATTTTAAAAGTATCTAGCTAGCTTCATGTACCACAATGTACTGCATCTATCTGCTGGCATACCTGACCATCCCTGTAGTCTGGGGTAGCATACTTTCACACTTTTCACTGTTGTCAAAATTCAAAAAGGTAATTCTTAGAGCTGGTTTAAAATTTTTAACTGGAAAATATCTCCAAGCAAAAATGAGATGTAGTTGAAAACATGTTTTGCAGGAATAGCTTTGATTTTTTTTTTGTTCATGTAATTTTTAGTACCTGTAAATTAAATAATGATTATTCTCAGGTTTGCTTTGTTTCTCTTTTTCCCCCCACCTTTTTTGAATGTTGAGGTGCTTCCTTGAACATTTTGTTTTTTTTTTCTCCTTTGCAGCTTTTCCAAGTAGAAAGGCATGGACATGTGACTAGCTCTTCCAAGCTGGCAGCTGCAGTAGTTGCTACTACAGTACTTTCCCACTAGGTGTGAGAACTAGTTTGCACTGAGCAAACTCAGGAATAAAACTGACTGTTGGAGTGCATGCAGGCATGCATGTGCACACCATTCCGCATGTTTCACTTAGTAACTTTCCCATGTAAAAATACTACATATTTTTCAAGGGGTACTTTCCAGTTCACCTTGGAACAGAGTGACTCACTGGGCACATCTGCCTGAGATGTTTACTGCAGAGCTGCCTAATTGGCTCCAAAGTAAAGATCTGTGTCTACATGTGTGGCCCTATTAGGCAGCAGGCAGCTAATAAATTTTGCAACAGGGAAGTACTTGTAAAAACATACTAACCTGCTGCAGAGTTTTTACTCCACAGTAACACATGTAGATGCTGAGGCATCTGGCTGGGGCACAAGGGTGCTTCCGTGTAGGGGCTGACTAGCCATGCACTGAGGCACCTTTGTGCCCAGCCAGCCCCTCTGCAGCATGCTGAGTTGGGCACGAGCAGGCCTGGGCTGGCAGGCTGACTTGTGGGGCTCCCTGCCAGCCGGGGCTGCTCTGCCCTGGCTCAGTGTGCTGCGGTTCTGGGCAAATGTTCAAATGTTGCATCTGGGAGCAATAAACTCTGGCATGATAAACACTGGAATTGATTGCCGCACCTTAATTGCATGTAGACATGCCCACTGTGTAGCAGAGCTGCATATTGTGTGTCTGTTCCACTTTTACTGTATTAAATCAATTTACCACTGAGTAAGCATATCATGTCTGCACCATTAACAGGTGCAGTTACAGGAAGTTGTTATTCTAACATGCAGAGGGCCAGGTCATCTTTGTCTTAAAGTGCGTACAGTTTAACACACTGATCTTGCAGACTCATGCACATATTTAACTTTATGCATTTGTGAGTAGTTCCATTGCATTCAGTAGAATTACTCAGACTGTGTGGAGTGAAGTGCACATGCACGAGTCTTCACAGTATTGGGATCTAAAAAACCCCAAGTCATCAAGTTAACACAGAATTTCTTAGCTTTCTTAGACATTAGGCCTGGAAGGGACCTCATGAGACCATCGGGTCCAGCCCCCTGCTGAAGGGGCAGGAAGTCAGCAGGGGTCAGATCACCCCAGCAAGATAAGCATCCAAGCATTTCTTAAAGATATCCAGAGTAGTATCGTTCTTAAAGATGTCCATAGTAGGTGCTTGCACCACTTCTGGGGGAGTCTATTCCAGACCCTGGAGACATGGACTGTAAAAAAAATGTTTTCCTTATGTCCAGTCTAAAACAGTCTTCCAGCAGTTTATGACCGTTAGATCTTGTCTTCCCTTGAGGTACCCTGGTGAACAGACATTCTTCCAGTTCCTGGTGTGCACCCCTTATATACTTATAGACTATCACCGAGTCACCCCTGAGCCTTTGCTTCTCCAGGCTGAAGAGTCCCATGTCCGTCAGCCTCTCCTCATAAGGCCTGTTCTTTTGACCTCTAATCGTGCATGTGGCTGTCTGGATTCTCAAGCTTCTCCACATCCTTCCTAAAGCAGGAGGATGACTTCTTGGGTCTTGCTTGCGATGCATCACTAGATGCAAGCCAGAGTTTTATTTGCTTTGCCAGCTGCAGCTTCACATTGGCAGTGCTCGTTCACCTTGCGGTCAGTCATGACCTCCAAGTCTCTTTTCGGTTGTAGTGCTAGTGAGTGTAGCACTGCCGAGCCTATAAGTATGATGTGGGTTTTTTCTCCTAGGGTGGAGCACCTTGCATTTCTCCATGTTGAATGTTATCAGGTTTTGATTCACCCACCTTGTGAGCCTGTTCAGGTTGGCCTGAATTGCCAGCCTATCTTTTAGAGTGACTGCACTTCCCCATAATTTGGTGTTATCCACAAGCTTAGTCAGTCTGCTTCTGACACCTGAATCTGGATCATTTATGAATACAGTCATAAGTCTGAGGACTGCCACAATTGGTTCCTGAAAACCGCATCTAAAGTTGAAACGTTGCAACTCAGAACCAATTTTCTCATAAGAAACAATGTTATAAATGGGGGCTTGGTTCCTGAACCCTATTTTCACTAAAAATACCACAGAATGTTGTACTCGATCAATTATAGATGAGTAATATAGCTACATTAATGTGTTTACATTGTAAATAGCGAGCATATTGATTTGGAAGGACTTCTTTGAGGTGACTTTGCTGGACTTTTTGAGAGGTTTTTGGTTGGACTTTTCGAAGGGTTCTTGGCTGAAGTCTTCTTAGGAGTCTTGGCTGCAGGTTTTTCTGGAGTCTTGTCTGCTTTCTTAGAGGAAAGTGTCCAAGGAAGTTTGGACAGATGTTCTCCAGGGAGATGGGTGACACAGCAAACTTGTTTGCTGACATGGTGTTGCATCGGATCAAGCATTGTAAAATCAAAACTGATGTCATAAAGTTGAAACAGGGTGTCAATTTATAAATGTTGTATGTGCGAAACATTGCAACTCAAAACGCTGTAAGCTGAGGACTACCTGTATATTAAAGAGTATTGGTCCAAGTACTAAGCTCTGGGGAACACCACTGGTCACCATGCACCATGTTGATTCAGTTCCATCAACTATCACTCTCTGGATCCGACCACAGAGCCAGTTCCTGAGCCATCAGACCATGAGGTTGTTGAGGCCGCAGTTCCACAATTTTACCATGAGGACATCATGGGAGACCAAGTCAAAGGCATTGTCTAAATATATGACATCAACCTCTTCTTTGTCCAGGTGATCCATCACCTGGTCATAGAAGGAAATGAGATTGGTCAGGCAAGACCCACCTGCAACAGAGCCACGTTGGCTCTCTCTTAGAATGTTGCCTTGCATTAGCCTGTTGTTAATGGTTTCTTTGATGATTTTTTCCAAGATCTTTCCAGGGAGTGAGGTCAACCTGTTTGGCTTGTAGTTCCCTTGATCTTCCTTCTTTCCCTTCTTGAAGATAGGCATCACATTAGCTCTCTTCCAATCTTCAGGAACCTCTCCTGAGCTCCACAAGTTCTCAAATATCCTTGCCATTGGCCATGCTATGATGTCAGCCAACTCTTTTAGCACTCTTGGGTGCATACCATCTGGGCCAACTAACTTGTGGATTTGCAGCCTCTTAAGCTGTTCCCTCACAAGATCTTTGCCAGTTATAGGCATATTAGTCAATTGCCCATCAAGAATGACAAGGGGGAGGGGGCAGGGACAGAAGCCAGTTTCCAGCCCACCCCACATGCTTCAGGCTTGGACCTGCTCCCCTCTCCCTCCCTCCTCGAGTCTGGGCCTGTTCAAACCCCCCCCCAATGCTTCAGGTCTGGACCTGCTCCCCTGTCCCTCCTTGAGTCTGGGCCTCTTCAACCCCGCCCCCACTTCAGTTCAGGCACCACTCCCCCCACCCCCGCGCTCTGGGACTGCCCAGCCCATGTCCACCTGCCTCTACCCCCGCCACACTCCTCTCCCTCCCTCCCTCCCTCCCAGATGCTGGCAGGGCCCAGTGGCGGCAGCAGTGGGGCACCATCACCATGCCCCTCCCTCCCCCTCCATCCCTCTCCCTTCCTGCTGACTTTTGTCAGGGCTCGATGGTGGTGGGATGGTGGCAGTGCGCTCCCCACAGTCATGGTGGGCAGGGACAGAGTCCCATGTCCAGCTCCACCTCCGCTTCTTGTCCGGTCAGGGGAGGGGGGGAATGGGCCCGCTCCCCCACCTCGCTCCTGCCACTTTGGGGCTGCTCCCCACCCCCAGGCTGTTGTTGGAGCACAGCAGCAGCGGGGCACTGCCACCATACCCCACCCTCTTCCTCTCCTACCTCCCTCCCCATACCTGTCAGCTTGTGTTGGGGCCTGACAGCTCCACATCCCCCCAGGTCTGGCCCCACCCCAACTTCTCATCCAGTTGGGAGGAGGGGAAACGGGCCCCCTCCCCCACTGGCTGCAGGGCTGGGGCAGGCCAACTGTGCTCCCCACCCCTCCCCATCCCCCACGTCTCCGCTGTCATGGCGGCACTCCACCATGCCATCTCCTGTTCACTCTTGAAGCACTCTGATTGGTTGTTTCGGTCAGCCAATCAGAGTACAAATAAAGTGTTATGGACAGACAGACA